TGCTATATTCTTGTGGTTCCCTATTTTGGGGTTGCCAGTAGGGCCCCTTTATCTTGTACGATGGATGTCATTCTCCAGTCCGGCGCGGTTGTTCCTGGAATAGATGCTCTTGCAACATGCATGCTATCACCTGGACCAGCAAAGATGCTCGTGAGCGGATGCTCCATGCAATATGAAGCGACCTGATGCCAAAAAAATTGCAAACCGCACTCAGCAATTTTCAGGAAAGATGTCAACACATGTTAAGCAGAGAAGACCCTTCAGCCAGGGGGCGTGGTTAATGTAGACCCATGATTAATAAACCCCCTCCTGTTAAGGGCCTAACTAATATTAAGAGAGCTATCATAATCCCTATTAAGGGGAGGCGGTTTATTCATCACGGGTTTACATCCCTAAGCCCTAAACCCTAAACAGTGGTTTCCGTTTTATGTTCCATCATCCCAAAATAACCCCCAATATTACCCCTGTATATCCAATCAGGGGTCTGAATTGAGATGGTTTGCTGGAAGGTCGGGGTCTTGGGGTCCCGATAGAAGAAGGCTAGTCGGAGTGGACCTGGGGAGGAGCCAGGATTTGAGAAATCGGTTTAGGGGTTAGGGGCTTAGGGTTTAGGGTTCAATCCTACTGTAGAGATTCGGGTTTCAACACATCAGGCGTTCAGGCTTACGGTAGACCTTCTAAGAAGTTTTGTTACCCCATCACCGTCGGCACCGCCTTCTGTCGCTTGCGGAAGTGGTGCACGCTTTTGAGTTGAGGGCCAGGGTTTACATAGGAGTGACCAGCTTTCTAGATCCAACTCTGATTATGTCTTGTGATCATCCGGAAAATCTTGCCACCCTTGGAAGAAATAGGTTTGGTTCACTGCCTGAGGCTTGAGTGCCATCAACCAAGCCCTGATGCTCAAGACAGCATACTTAAGCCAAAGGCCACAGGATCCCAACACCTACATAGTACTACTTTTATTCGTATTTTCACTAATAATATTATTATTCCGAGTATTATTAGTAGTAGTATGATTATTTTTGGTACTATTACTTTTCTTGCTACACTCCCCCAAACTAACATGGAAACCCATATAGCCCCCCTTTAAAAGGATTGTAGTTTTTATAGGGCCCCCTTTTGGGTTTCCATGTTAGTTCCCAGGAGTGTATCATTATTAATCATATGCTGCATGACTGGGCTCAGAAATACCTCAGTCATAAACAAGGACGACTTTCAGCCTGAAGTATGTAAAGCCACATGAGCCATAGTCTAAACTCCAAGTATCCCCCTTAAGAACGCTGTAATACTCCCACATACAATCCCCCATTTAGACCCATCATAGCTCACATAGAGGTATTTGAACTGCTTGGGGAAGCTCAGGAATTTCAACCCTAAACCCTAAACCTTTAACCCCTAAACCCCCAAACCCCTCAACCCTGAAACCCTAAACCGCAATCCTGTTGAGCCAGGGTACTTTAGCCTTGCCTCTTTTGGTGCCTTTGCCAGGGGGCCGTGGTCCTGCAAAAGGACAGTTGGGAGGGTTTAGGTTTAGGGCTTCTAAACCCTAAATAAAACCTACAGTAAAAACCCTAAACCCTATAAACCCCTATAAACCCTATACCCCTAACCCTAAACCCTTTAGGCCTTTGCTCCAGATCCGGGCTCCCGGTCTCACGGTTCAAGATTCAGGAGCCATAGTCTAAACCCCCAGTATCGGTCTAGGGTTTAGGGTTTAGCGCTTAGGGTTTAGGGCTTAGGGTTTAGGGTCGAGGGTAGAACCCGATCATACTTCCCTATATAATCCCTCATTTAACCCCACTATAGCTCACATAGACGTATTCATTTGTGCGGCTGCACTGTCTGGAGCTCTTGGGGCGGGGATGTTCTTCCTGGCTTCCCAACCCTGGCCCCCCAAAGGGTAGGTTTTAGGGCTTTAGGGTTTTAGGGGTTTAGGATTTAGGGCTCGAGTTTTGAAAGCTCTGACGAAATTAGCTCAAAGGCTGAAAAGTACCTAGGGGCCGCAGAAAACTGAAAAGCTAAAGCATGCATGGTTTACAATATTAGGGTTGAAATATAGGGGTATAATATAGGGGTATACTATAGGGGTTATATTGGGATAATGGAGAATGAAATGGAAACTACTATAGTAGAATGGGGTATGTGGGGGTTATGTTGCATAGGACTTGAGGCTTGAGACTACGACAACTCGACGCAGAAAGCTCATACTTGCGCGGCCACGTTGCAGAAATCATATGAGCTACTGTCTAAACTCCTAGTATCCCCCTTAATAACCCCTATAGTAGTCCCCTATATAATCCCCAATAAGAGCCCCTTTAAGGAGTTTAGACTATAGCTCATATGCAGCCCAGTACTTGGTGCTTGAAAAGCTCCCTCTGAAGGAGCATAGCTATGGCTCACATGAGGTTACCCAGACCCCCAAAAGGATCGAAAAGTTAGATCCCCTAGAACCATAGGGGAAATTATATAAGGATTATATAGGGGTTATCATGGGTCTATATAGGGGATCTAATTTTTAGATCCTCCCAGGGGTCTGGGTAGGTCTTCATCTAGCAGTAAGCAGAACCACCAATGCGCACTCGCATCTGGATCCAATCAGGTAACATATTACACTGACCGAAGAGAAACTATAAAATCCCACTTGAAATGAAGCCGCCCGCGTCCTCGGCATAGAGGCCTTCTTCTTTTAAGATGGCATCTTCCAGGTAGCCTGAGCCGCAAAAAGGTCCGTACGGTTCTATGAATTCTCACGTCTATCGCTCGTCGCTTTGTCAAAGTTCCTTTGATTTACGGCAGGTTCTCACCCAAAGGGTCGGTGCCCCAATCTTATGACTACTGACAGACCACTGTAATCTTGCAGGCGTCCTTTGCCTGACAAAATTCTCCCAAGCTTCCAACTGGCTGAAGAGAGAATGTTTTCGAAATTGATAACCCTCCTCTTGAATTGGGGGCGCTATTCCTAGTCCCGCTTAAGTAGATAGAATATTGGGGTTATATGGGGATAATGGAAAATAAAATGGAAACTACTTTGGGTACTTGAACAGATGAGGTGAGTGCCTGCCTAACTCAACTCTGGCAATTGGCTTGAGGGTATGGAGCTCTGCCTTTGGTTGGCTGCAGGTACCCTGGAGCTGATGCTGTGCAAAATAGGCATGGAATACCACATGAGTCGTAGTCTGAACTCCTGGTATCCCCCTTGATAGGCCCTACAGTATATGACCACCTATATAACCCTTCTTTAAAGATTTTAAACTATAGCTCACATGAGCCCTCAACGGGAAGGGAAACATCATCTTCAGGGGCCCCCTTGCGGGTGTCCATGTTCGCTGGGGAGGGTGTGGCCCAGGATTTTAAAATTGAGAGCGTTCGGGCCAGGGGCGAGTGTGGGGACTGTGCCCCAAGATTCAACGGGGCCGTTTGATTGATGCCGGGCTTCTGCAAACGATCCAAAGAAAGTTTCATTACAAAGTCTGCCCCTACATCTAGCTTCCCAAGCACCCTAGAGCAAAGAGAAACCTTGTGGAATTAGCTTCAGAAAGACTGAATCCAAGAAAGGGAATCAGGCGCACTGCGTTCTCATCAAATCACAGCGAGCCCTTCGCCTGGCCTGCCTCTGAAGATGCCATCTTTGAAAACAAGCCGCTTTGAAGAATTTAGGTGCTTATCCCTGCGCCCTGTTTCAGAGATCCCCAGAAACGGATTCTTGGAAAACCTGCATTTCAAAACGGAGTTGTCGTAGTCATTTCTTATGGGCTCACCATCATTGACAACACGTTGCTGCTGACACAGGCTAAGCCTCGTGTGAAAAACGCGCAACCAGAAGGCCCAGTCACAGAACTTGGGAACCTGCAGTCTAAGGTCCCAAACTCCAAGCCTCCAAAGGTGCCAACCCTGAACGCGCTTGCCGTCATACCTGCCGGCGTGTCGCGGATGCTTCCGGTCAGGAGCATTCCAAAGACATCGCGATCTTCTCCCTGGCGGGGATTTCAGGGATAAATTCTGACAGAGCAGGCGGGAGCAGCGTAGTTAAGAGCTGGGGCTTCGGATTCAAGATTGACTTGGGTATAGCAAACACCCCTTCATACTGCCAAACAATCGGGGCTCAAAGAGACTAATACCGTTTAGGGTTTAGGGTTTAGGCAAACATGGTGGGCAGACTCATGAACTGCTGTTTGCTTACGACTGAACTGCTGCATGTTGGGACTGAGCTACTGTATCTCTCTCAATGCATGTGTAACAGTCCATATCTAGTTCGTCATGCATGGCACCATTCTTACTCAGTCCTGGTGTCAACTTGTTGGAAATCACAGCTTTCTGCTGGTTGTGAAAATGGTGAATGTACGGATCGCAAGGGCTTAGGTTTGAAGATCATGTGAGCTACAGTCTCAACTCCTAGTATCTCCTAGTATCCCCCTTAAGAAGTCCTATAATAATGGGAAACCTATATAGTCCCGGTAAAACCCCCTGTAAGGAGCTTATACTATGGATCATGTCAAGGTTGGGGATGAATTCAGTCGTGCGGGAAGTTGTGAGCCAGGTTCTACTTGCCTCCGCTAGCCGTGTAGACTCTGAGATCCCGAATAGCCTGTTCCCAAGGGCATCAATGGACATGCGCAAATCCCTCACGGCAATCCAATGGAGACTATGTTTGGGGGCACATGGAGACATCCAGCGCATGCTGGATGTATCTGAAACCCAAAGTCTATTGTTTGTGGGGGGGGGGTCCTCTGAACAAGAATCCATACATTGGGGCGGGCAAGGATGAAACGTAGACTTGCGAGCTAGACTTCCTACTGACTTCCTATTGTAGGAACCCCAAGACACAGTCCCATGCAGGGATACGCGGGCCGAGACCAAGTTTAGGGTTTAGGGTTTCAAAAGGCATTGGATGTTCCCTGACAATAGCAAGTCTCCTTCAAAACAGTGCGCGTACACCCCCCCAAATGGAACCTCATGTAGCCCTGGCTTAGCGCAGTAATTTTCATGCGGCCCTCTGTGAGGTTCCAAGCAACTTAGTGGGACCTGCTCCATAGCATCAATGCCCCGAACGAAAATGTTTACGTAAACTTCTACGTCCAAGACTCCCAAATTCTGAGCCCCTACCATGCATTCCAACACTCTATACCTTTGACCCTTACCATGGCGAACCGTAGACCTCGTTCTTTACATCCTGAATGCGTTCTGAGATGTTAGTAAGGGGCAGGAACGGCCCAAAGTTAAGCACCCGACCTCGATACCCCAAAAATGATCATCATCCCTACAGACTCATGACTGTAGTCTCCTTAGACCTATAATAAAAATTTGGGTTTTACTAGGGTTATACTATACTAAAAATGAAAACAGTTCCTAGGAGACTACAGATGAAAGCACCCTGATTTAAGAAGCTCCAAAGGTGATCCTAAAGTCCCTTCCTGATCCCCTCAGGCTTTGCAGAGGGTCCCATTGTAATCGCTATGGTGCCTTCATGCGACAAAGCCATAGATCCTCTTAGGGTCCCAGTTAACAAGCATGATGAGAAAATACGTTTCGATGCGCTACCCCACCCAATACTACGCCCCATAATCAAGGAATGGATCCTTATAGTAGTCCCTATGTAACGCCATGATCGTAGTTTCCCTTTTCTTTTCCATTCCTTCATTCCCAGCTAACCAACATGTCTTCGAGAGGGGGAGGATGCCTGCATGGAGGGAAGCCGATAACCTCGGTTGTTGAAATACTACTAAAAATGATCATTTTTCATCTATAGTCCTCCTTAAGTAGATCGAATATGGCTTTGGGTATATCATAATAAGATCCCCATATACCCCATATTCTATCTACTTGAGGGGGACTGTGTATTGGTTCCAGGCACACAAAACATGTAAAGTGTTGCTCGACAAGGACCCAGCAACCGTCTGGGCACATCATCCTCAGGAAGTCGCCTTTGTCCAAGCAACCTGGGAGAGCTTGCGTCAAGCATTTGGGGGTTTTCCTAAAGCCTTTTTGGGGGGTCCCCATAACGAGGATTATAGTGTTTTGTGTGGTTTTATATTGGGGTCCCCCTGTTTGGGAAACTACTGCTTAGGGTTTCAGCATCCAGGGCAAGGATTTGGGCATACTGCTTGGGGTACGTAGCGGATCGAGGATAGAGGCTCTATGAGCTAGGGGTAGGGCTCGTAACTTCAAGCACAGGATAGGATTCTACCGAGTTGGTACTGGGGCCCAACACAACGAGGACAAGAGACATCTGCAAACATATCTTATGCTGCATGCAGACATGACATTTCGTCGAAGGCCAGCGGCCTTACCATCACAGTCATAGAGTCAGAGCTTTTGACTGGCCCACATATTGCTGCTACCAAGCTCTGCATGATTTCAGTTTACTAGAAAATAGTGTACACTCCCCACTTTTCTTGAAGAACCCCACATACACTCGCCCAAACCTAGAATAAGATCACACCTCACACCCACCATGGGGGTTTCCTAAAATTAAGGGTATCATATTGGAGTCTCAACAATAAGGAATATCATATTTTGGGGTCTATATTGGGGCCCCCTTATTTTGGGAAACTACCACATGAGTCAAGCTTACTGGCTCGCTGTCTTTAGGAAGAAAGATGCAGTCGTAGCTAGCAAGTGTCGGGGTATACGCGAATCCATACAGATATAGACAGAATTTAGTCGTTTCCATTTTGCTTTTCCGTTATCCCAATATAGCCCCAATATAACCCTAATATTACCCGAAAGGGCAGTTAAGGCTTAGCTTTTAAGCTTAGGGCTTCGGGCCTCTTGCACTCAGTGTCTGCAGATGGCATCTGGGAATGGCGCCTAAACACGCCCAGGATGTGGTGAGGACCACGACATCTGTCGCAAAAGCACATCCGCGACTGGAACCCAACAAGCAAAGGGCCTGCCTAACCTTCCTGACAGGCGGTTTCGCATCTTTTGAAACCTGGCCCTAAACCCTAAACCCTAAACCCTAAACCCCAGCCCCTGGGCCAAGAATTTCAGCGGCTCCAGCGAAAAGTCTCGCTTTGGAACAATGCGAATCACACGAACGGAGGCTTCTGCTGGTGCAGCTCACGCTCTACCCGGTTTAGGGTTTAGGGTTTATGGGTTATATAAGGATAATGGAAAAGACAATGGAAACTAACTACTATATTAATTAAGGTATACACTGGGTGATATAAGGATAATGGAAAAGAAAATGGAAGCTACTGTGGGGCTTAGGGTTTAGGGTTTAGGGTGCTGGTGTGAGTAGCTGTCAGATGTAGGTCTGCGTCCTGGCACCCTGGAAAATGGTGATTCACTTACAAGTGGTTTACAGGAAGAATGGATCCCCATGGCAGCCCTCGATACACAAATGCAAATAAATGCATATAGAAATATATAAATATAGATAGATAGATAGATAGATAGCGGTCTCCCAAAATTAGGGAGTACCTTTTTGGGATCCCCATAGTAAGGACTCTAGCATTTTGGGGTCTATCTTGGGGTCCCCTATTTTGGG